AAACTTAGTTTTTGTTAAAGTTATTGTAAACTTCAATTTCATATTTGATTATTTATTATTGAATTTTAACCATATTAATATAGAATTATGATTTTATTTATTTATTTATTAAATTTAATAAACTTTTTATGATTTCGATTTTATTTAATCAAAATGATTGTAAACAAAATATCAAGGTTAACAACCTTGTGCCCTTTCACTTACAAAAGCTCCAACTAACCACCTCAAAACTTTAGCCATAATCTTCAACTAGAAGAAAGTTTTGTTATATTTCAAGAATATCATCTCAATAGTATCTCCGACCAATCACAGCATATCATATTAATAATTCTTTTTACTTCATTAATGAATACCACTGAGGTGGAAAAAAAATTGTTGATATAGAGAATGAAGTGGAAAAAAAAAGTGATAACATGATGTGTTGTGATTGGTCAAAGGATATCACTGGCGTGGTATTCCAAAATAAAATAAACTTTCTCCTTTAACTAGAGATTTTAAGTTCTAGATTTCAAGTTCTTATATTAGGGATGGGAATAACTTTAAAGTTTATTATTGAAAATGATTCATATGCATACCAAAATTTGCTTATAAAGAACTAATGAAAACCACCGTCAGGTCATGCAATTAGTAAGTCGAAATGAGATTACATGAACATCCTTACATGGTAGCAAAAGGCACACAATTTCCATGATTGGAACCCAAATGCAACAAGTGTATAAAATATAATTCCCTAATTCTGTGTTCAAGGATTCTTCATCTTGATCCTCAGCTTCCTAGCTATATGTGCTGCCTTGGGATGAACCGGCCGCTTATTACCATCACTCTGTTCCACCTCCACCCAATTGATAACCTTCAGTATTAGCGACTGTGGAACTTTCTTAACATCATTATCCGTCGCCCCTTTCGCTTTCTTCATCCCATTATCTAATGCTTTCTCTATGAACCCCATGAACCAGTTCCCCGCTTCAGATTCTATCTGCTTACCCAATTTGATTGTGTTGCTTAAGCTGCAGGACGATGACGAAGATGGTTTCTTGTTTTCATCATTCTCTGTAACTGTTTCGGAGTGTCCTTTCTTGGGGTTAGAGTTTGATCTTAGAAGTCTTCCCGTGTTCGTGGATGCAATTGATTTGTACAATGTGGTTCGTCTTCTGGACGAATTCAATTCCGAGGAACAAGTTTCGTCCATGGAATTGGGGATGATTTCATGTAAGATGGCTGGTGCTTTTTCTCCCTTCTCTACTGCCGCTTCAATAGCTGAAGTAGCTGCTTGGATGGACTGCATGTCATTGACTGCCTGAACAATTTGGACGTGGAACTCCAAGAACCGATCAAAACAGGCTGCTGGAGTGTCTGCTTTTGCCGATTTGGTTAAGGTGGAAAATTTCCTGAATTCACAGACAATGGATGAAAAACAGAGCAAGACAGAGTGATGTATAATTAATAGAAAAAAACAGGGGAAGTTCCAAGTTATTACTTCAGAGAGCGAACTAAGGTTTCAGTGGCGGAAGCATCCCTTAGTGCTTGAAGGGCAATTTTCTGTGCATTCTCTCGTAGCTGCACAGCTTCCTGTTAAACAAAAATTAAAGTAAGCGGCGGTAAACATAAGAAAAATAGACATACTCTGTTTTCTAGATGTTTAACCTTTTTACCTTGCCCAAAATGCTAAGCTTTCCAGGTAAATTCATGGATGGATTATCAATGTTATCAGAGGCTGAGTTACCAGACTGAGATTGGGATTGTGTAGTCACTCTTGTGTTGATGTTTTTCTGCACATCTCCACCCATATTAAGGGAGGTATCCTGTGCTACAACTGCAGTGGCTGCTGCTGCCCTTCCCCTCCTCAAGGTCGGAGGTGGGGTAGCGTTCTTCTTTTCCTACAGTAAGAAATCGCTTTTCTCAGAAGGTATTGAATGATTAATGAAAGAGTAAAAACAGAGTAGGGAGGTTTGTGAAGAATTTAATTGGAATAGAGGGAAGATGTACCTACAGATGAGTTAAGAGGGCTAATTGAGATTTTAGGCTCTCGTTCACAGACACTTTGGCTTCTCGGAAATTTTGAAGCAGAAGACACAAAACAGCTTTTCCTAAGCATAGCAGGACTCTCTCCTTTTGTTTCTATCATTTTTGCCAAAAGTCCACCACCCAAAGAACCCCTGATACCCACTCCGGCACTGCCATCCTTCAACATCCTTCTTCTCATCGGAGACATCATCGGAGTTCTCACCGAACTAGCCTGCCCTTTCACCGGCGTACACTGATCAAAATCCAACGGCATAGGCTTCAAAACCATGGGAGAGGAAACACCATTCTGCCCTGTTTCCCAAGACCCTCTTCTATGACCCGAGGGCTTTGGATCCTGTTTCTCTCCCTTTCCTCTAAGACCCATCAATGGCTCCGGGGTTCCCACCAAGGGATGCCGGCCGGGTAGCGGTTTGGCGCCATGAACAACAGGGACCGGAGACCCTGGCTCCAATCTGTCGACATAAATGAATTGACCCAACTGCATTTTGTTGCTTAAAACAAAATCATTTTGATCAGAAGGAAGACTAACGTAAATCGAATGCGACGAATCCGAAACCTTGATGTAGAAGCCCTGTTTAGGCCAGAGATTCTTGTCATCAAGCTCCGCCGGCACAATGTCAGTCACCTGCAAAAGTGAGCTCCGGTGCTCGCCGGTGGGCTTGACCCCAGTACTCATTCCATCTAGGAGCTTCAGAAGAACCCCAGGTGCCAATGCAGCCATAACCAGAACAAAAATCAACCCGAAAACTCAATCAATTTGTTTGCTTTTAGACGAACCCAGATGACGGCTTTAATCCCAAAAAGGAAAATTTCTCTTGAAATTGAAGAAGAATTGATTATTAAAACTTGAAAGCTATTTCAGGAATGGGGATTTCATGGAATCGAGGGAACACAGAGGAGGAAGAGAAGAAGAAGAAGAGCGTTTTGGTAGGGTACTGATCCGTGAGCGGCCGTTGCCAACGGTAAGTGCGCAACGATCAAGACGCCTCTTGCTTTTTTCAAAATTCAGAATTTCGGAACGTTGCTGCAACGGTCATATGTTGGTGCGTCCGTCTGCGTCAAAATGAAATTACTTTAGTAGCCTCCAAAATAGTTATCCGTAAATCCCCAAGTATTATCTTAATTACCCATTGAGTACTTCTGTTTTTGTCCATATCGATTGAGTCCTTAAATTCGAAGTTTATTATATCCTCATCCTAACACCTTTTATGTGGCATTCCATTTATTAAAAAATACTCAAGAATGAATTTTCATGCTAGGATTTAATTGATATCTCTTATAAGTTTCATGTTTTTTAAGTTAAACTACACAATAAAATTTTCTTATGTTTATATGCGCACATTTATTATAAAATCTAATTGAAAAAATACATTTTTGATTTCTTATTGTGTTTATGAAGTAAATTCAGACAAGTTATGATTTAGCAATGTCTCCATTAAACATTAGTTGTTGATTTTGGAGAGAAAAACTCGACATTTATAGATTCTCCCCCATCAATGATTATAATTATGCAATTCATATAATATTGAATTTGACTGATACTCTAACTGATTTTAATCAAGTAACTAAAAATAGATTGCTTTATAACTAATTAATACCATAACAGTAAGTAGATTGTCAAGATCAACATGATGAGATTTTTTTTTTTTATATTTTTTACTTATATTTTTATTTTTGCTTAAGATAATGGGATTAGGATGAATGATTTTGGTTGCAAATAAATGACAGGAAAATTAATAGAAAAGACGGATGAATGTAGCCCATTAAGTACTTCATCATTAGATGATATTCATGTTTTATAAATCGGATTGCACATTAAAAAAATAATTTGAGCACAATTCATTAACAGTATCTTAATAATTTTGGTACCCAAATTATGCTTCTAATGTGCAATCTAACTTGTAAAACACTTTGTCATTGTGTGTGTTAAGTCAGCTGCGTAAATGAAAAACAATTTTCATCGTCAAGAACAAATGAGTGAAATAAAGAAAAGTAGTAACAAATAATGGATCTAGATAGATCTCATAATTCAGGCCCCAACCCCAAACTGATTGTTTTGTTGATGTTCCAGAGAGTGGGGACATAGCATGAAATATCAATAGCCAATAGAAGTGGCGGTGCTGAAAATTCAAATGCAACTTTGCAACTGCATTTCTCAACCCTTACGTAAAGAACAAAAAGTCGTAGCAGCATTCATAAAAAGATTGAAGTCAATGATTATGTTGAGTAATGAACACAAACCTTTAATTTGGGGACAAGAATAGGGATTTAAACTGCTGTAGTTACCATACAGAACTTCAAATATATCCAAGGAAAAAACAAAAGGATTGATCCAAGACAAACATAGTAAAAAAGGTGTACCTATAGAGTATAGACTTAATCAGCAGTGACATCATGAAGAAAAGAGACATACCACATAAATTTATCCTTAAGATTATGTTAATTTGTCACGAGAGTCGGTAGGAGCACAGCTGCCTTTAAATTCTCTTCCATGATAATGAAAGGAAAATTTATCAAAGAAGTTAGAGATCTTTATCTTGGGACATGCAACAAATATCATGTGAGAGCAATTACTGTTAAAACATCTTGTAAAAGAACAAGGGGAGAGGAATAACTTATAGCTATTCCCATCTTAAGTTGAATGTAGGTCTGATTTTAATTGGAAACAAGCCAAGAAACAAAATCCCTTGCTAATGAAAACCTGGGCATTGCCGGGGAGAGAAGCCTGCAGGCCCTGCTATAGAGGTGTTGCAAAACCTGCATGCAGAAACCAGATCAAGTAACTCAAAATATGGTTTATCATAAGGAAAATGGTTAGAAGTCAATTCAAATCTGGCTCCATTTTTGTTAACTTAAAGACAAAACTAATGCTCCCCATGATCCATCAAATTCAAATTTCTGCATGACTGGTTTGACTTTTATAAGACCTGCAGCTAAAATCTTCCTTTATTTTATTTTGTTTTAACAAGAATAGAAAGCTAAGAAAGATCATGGTACTTGGCTCACTAACAATATGCTAAGATATGTAAGAGCCATCATAAGAACTAGTAACAAGAAACAATTCCAAGCAATGCAATTTGCAATCAAATATACAACAAAGACAACAACGTCAAATCTAATGTTCTACTTCTAAAATCTTAAATCTGCAGTCTCAATTGGTTGTCCCTCAACAAGCAAAAATAAAATTAGAGATTACAAATAGATTATATTATGGCAAAGTTGAATAAGAAAGCACTATTGTCTCTTGGCATCAATTGTTGCTCCCCACCCAACATATCTAAATGGTTTATTCAAAAACCTCAATTCAAACCAAAAGGTGAAATAAATAATAAGGTGCACAACATAGAACTAGAAGAGCTTTGATAAAAAAGGCAATCATTTAATAAGCATTACAAGATTTGAAGATCACTGAGCCACCACATAAAATCACAAATCATATCTACATTGTTGTTGCTAAATTGCAAACTATACAAATGGCTAGCACTTGAGAAGGATAATGATTGCCAACACTACAATAAAGCTAATAGGGAAAGCCTACTTCTCATAGCTTCAGCTAAAGCTGCTTAATCATTTTAAGAATTAAAGGTTCAGCTTAATTGGATGAAAGCGAACACTGTTTGCAACTGAATCCGAATCAAAAGGACCCCAAATTGACACAGTAGTGAAATTGGTTAAAGAATGAACTCAGAAATCCACAAATTATAAAGATAAACCAAGAGGAAAATTGCACCACAAATATAATTTTTAGCGTCCAGCACAACTGAAGTATCACCCAACAGAAAGGCTACCAGTAGAGAAAAAGAAATTTCTACCACTAATATCAACCACCCCCTTTTATCCGCTTCTCAATTTCCATTACAGAGAAATTCATCAGGAATTAGAAAAATATAAAGAAGTATAGTTCAACTGCGAACAATTTGGTTCACAGAGCAGCAATAGAGACAGTAACTAGCAGATTTGAACAACTCCCATTTATAAAACAAGTAAGAGGATACATAACACAACTGTTTACCTCCAAAACCAAGGTGATGAGAAGGCCACACCACCAATTGTCTATTTCAGCACAACTGTCTATTTTAACTAATTGTGAGGCACCATGACAGACCTCTCGCAACACCACCTAAACTATTTTAGCACCTTAAAACTCAAGTTACACCAATAGAACATTGTTTTTTTTTTCTTTTATACCATTCTAGAGCTAAGCATGATTTCATACCCTACCAAAATGGTAAATTACAGCCTTAAAACAGAAAAAGAATCACAAGCCAGGGAAATGAAGTAAGCATTGACAGGATAATATATCATGGTAACACCCCCAGCTTAATGAAGGAATACTAAAAGGACAATTTTTTAAAGTACCTTCTGAAAGACAACCCCAGCTTTGATTGTGCAAGGAGAGCAATGAAGTGAACAAAGCAGATGCTGTAGCACTGTGCAATGGCACCAAAGACAGCATGCCACCCAATTCCACAGGAAGCCTATACAAGTCGAGCTAACAATCATTTCCACAACAAATAACAAAACTGGGAACCAAAAAAACGAGGAAAAGCAAACAAACGAAAATGGGTATTCATTAAGATAGATCAAAAGTCAAAACCAATACTCCATTCAATTGCTGTAAGTAAGCGTACGCAAACCTGGAAGAGGTGAGCTTGCGGAGAGCAAATCGAGAAGCAGCGGTTGGCTTAGGAGGAGTGATACCGGCCAGCTTGGAAGCTGGTGAAGTGAGCGAAGATGAACACGAAGACGGTGAACGGAAAATGGCCTCTGCAGAGGCACCGAAGAACCGTAGAGTTCGTCTTCCACAACCAGCCGCCATTTTTCTACTTCTCCCCCAAAACCCTCCGCCTCATTCCCTTGAACCCCAAAGAAGAAAGGATTGACTATAGGATCGATTATGGGCTGGGTCTGTGAATAACGCAGAACTTTCAGGCCTAGTGGTAGTATCATCAACATTTTATAGTCCAGATCAACCTGAGCCCAATCACTACGGAGGCTCAGTATGCCAGTTCGGGTTTCATTAATTTGGAGGCCGTTGAAATATATTTTTAATGCTATAATTATAAATATATAATATATTATAAATAAATTTTTAAATAAAAAATTAATTATATAAAAATATATTATATTATAAATTTATTACTTTGTAATATTGTAGTTATAGCGTTTTCAATGTTTAATAGACATGACTTTTTTTAGTACAATTACACTTAGACTCTTGTTTGAAAATTGAAAATATATTTTCTAGTTTAGTGCGTAGCTCGGGGAATAAAAGTGTCATGTACTTTTATTGAATTTTTTTTTTGTATATTAATTCATTAATAATAATAATTTAATAATTCATAACCACATTATCAATAATTTGAATAATTTAATGATAATTATTTTTCGTTAAAAATAAAAAATATTGAATTCAAATAATATAATATACAGGTAGGGTATAATAAAGAATAAAAAAGAATTGATTCTCATTATATAATTAAAAAATATATATATACATATTTCATAACCACATTGTAAAAAAAATATGGATTCTTCGAAATTTTGACTTTGTTTCGGATTGGGAGTGTTCTGTTGTGATGGAATGTGCTATGATTCTTTTTTCTTTTTTCTTTTTTCTTTTTTTTTGTCTTTTCTATTAAAAATATATAAAATTTTAATTAAATTTAATTATTTGTAATAAATTTATATTTTAAAATACAACCTAGAAGGAAAAAATGGTTGTATAAAGCATTTTCAAACGGAATCTTTGTGTGGCACCTTCTAGGTTGACTTAAAAAAAAAAAAGGCTAGTGCTTTTGGTTATACCAAGGGCAAACTATTCAAAACTAAAGAAAACAAGTATTTTACCAATTGAAGTATAAGTGAAAGTACATTACTAGATTATTACGCTTGTTTGACATATTTCATAATCCATTACAATGAATTTCAACAAAAATTATTTGCAAACACCCATCAATTCTTCCTTTCAAGTCACGATCATAAATCATAATCAAACAAAGGAAAAAAAAACAAACACATACTATTCAACCACACAAGCACGTTTGTATGGCAATCACATGTGAAAATGTCAGTTTCCCATATTTCACCTCTTATGTGTCGCAAGTGAATTATTAAAATGTGTCAAGACAGGTACACAACATTAGTGTGAATGAAAAGTAACATTGAATGAAACGTGGATTATTTTGAAGCACAAGACAGTATATATGGCATTGATTAATGTGATTGACTTTACGTGCACACAGGCCTTGAGGCAGAGGGAAGCAGATTTCTTTGAAAAAATGGTCACTTCCCACATATCCCCTGCTGTACCCACGACCTGTGCACTGTTATACCACATTAAGTTACTAGACATTGTGGGCTGGCCCTGGAAAACATGCATTTTTCAGGCACACTTCACATACATTTAGACTAGTCAAGTTCTTTTAAATTGTATCTGTAAAAAATCAAAATAATAATAAAAAAAAGCCCATGATTTGAATTTCAATAATACTAAATCGTTATTTTTTAACATACCATATAAGTTGGGCGAGTTGTTGGACTTCAGATAGTAGGCATTGCAATTAATTGATTCTTTGATTGAAGAAAGACCCCAACTACTTAGAAATTTCTAAAAAACCCATGGTTGGGAGAGCTGCAGACCCTCCATCCTCTTTAATGAGACACTGCATGGTAGCTCCATCACAATCTCCAAAGGTGTACAACATCAAACAGAAAAATTGCAGTATCTGCATCAATCCAATTCAATGCCAAACTAATAATCAACAACCTTTTCTTACAACAAGTCATTGAATTTTGTCTTGAGATTGTTTTCTGTGTCATTAAGCCAGGTAACGGGCCATGGCTAACTAACTAATGTTATTTATATGATGGGAAAGGAGACGAAGACTGAAGAGCTACCAAATTTATGGCTATTGTCTGGGTCTCATCTTGTCGACAGAGTTAGTTGGCAGACCAGGAAATCTCAGTAGCTTCTTCTTCCTTCATTGCAAATAAAAACACACAAGGAAAGGAAGAAAGAAGACGAACTTCTAGCTGGTTTGGACTTTAGAGGAAAATGGAAAATTGTTGGGA